CATTGTTGTTGTAGTTGTTAACTAGGACCGATCCGGCTTTAAATTGTCAACTAAACAACTCTATGGTAGATTTAATATTTGAGTTTATTCGGGTATCATAAAACCGGCTGTTCAGGGAATTGCCTGCTAAGACATGGTTACGGATTTCTGTTTTTTTGTCAATACTTGCTGTGTAACGTCGACTCTTGCATTCCTGACAGGTCTGAACCGTTCAATTTCTCGGTGTAATTGATGAGATGAGTATATAATAAATAAAACTGAACCAAAAATAATATTCAAGTATTCCAAAAATATAATAAAGTAAATATTATATTTAAGAAAATTCAGTACGAAAAGCAAAAGTTTGAGTTTTTTTTTTTTTGATTTTCAACATTTTTATAAACATTGCTTAATGCGGTCACCTCGTGCAAGGAATTTACTGAACATTTTTCATAAATGGAGTTCTGATAAATAAAAATAAAAGAAATAAATACAAAAAATTACTAGAAATTTTTTATAAATAGTTTAAAGTAAGCATTTTCATTTATTCAGTAAAGTCAGTTCGAAAAATTTTTTTTAAATATTTTTTTATTTAATTTTCTTGCAAGAAATTTACTGGAACTTTTCCATAAATGGAATTTTGATAATTTTTCCTTGTTTTAAAGCTTTTCGTGCAAGAAATTTACTGACAATTTTTCGTAAAAGATTTAAAGTAAAAATTTTACTAAATTCTCAACGAAAAGTTCGGATTTTGCAAAATATATATTATTTTGTTTCAAGAAAATTGCGTAATCTGGTCACCTCATGGATAGAAGAATACGCCAGCTCTACTCTATTCATCCGATTTCGACTGTGTGCGTGAATAAGTGGATTTACTTTGCTTTTCAGGTGTGTGTGTTTGTGTGCCTGTGTCAAAGACAAAGTTTGGTTAACGGCTCTGGGCAATTGTTGTTGCTGCTGTTGTTGTTACGGCAAAAGTAAATAACGATTGCTACAATGGCACTCGGTGCATTGTAACAACAAGTTTAATATTATTTGAGTTGCATTCATGAAACACATACCGACATCTGGCAGTGATTCCCAACAAGAAGCGTGGCAGCGTGGCCACTTTTTTCTATTTGATTGGCTGTTACTTGCATACATACATATGTATGGCTTTGCAGTCAAATTTACTTTTTTATTCATTTATTTTTTTTTTATTTCTTTTTTTATTTTTTATTTTGTATTTCTTATTTTNGAGGACTCTTTCGCACATTTGTTACCCACTTGAAGATCACTCGAATGACTTGAGTATCTGCCTCCGCGCCGTAAGTGTTTGCCTTTCACCGCACTTTGTTGATTTAAATTTTGTTTATGCTTCCGTTAAGAGTTGTAAATAAAAGCTGTCGTTTTAATGGCTATTAATCACATAAAGCCTCAAATTGTTATTTTGCGTATGACGAATCGTGAGTAAGCACCACTAAATTTGTTTTGGGGGAATTTTACGAACTTGATATATATGTGTGCATGTGCGTTAATGGGTAAAAGCATGACGTATGTATAAGTGATTGACTGTGCTGAAGAGTGGTAAAAATCTTGGTTATGGAATTTATGTATATTAGGGTGAGCCAAAATAACAAATATTCAGTTCACTGATTCAAATAAACGGAAATAGAAGGCAAGTAAGAAAAAATTTAACTTCGGCCACACTGAAACCATAATACCCTTCACAGGTGCACTTTCTATAGCAGCAGTGTATATAAGAATATATTTGTCTCGATTTTGTTCAATCAGTTTGTATTACACCTATATGCTATAGCCATCCGATCTGCACAATATGTACGGTAATTATAGCGCTATGTTGCGAAATAAATAAATGTGACAAATCTCGTGAAGTCACTTTTAAAATTAAAAAAGTTTTCCATGTAAGGACCTGATTTTGATCGTTCAGTTCGTATGGCAGCTATATTCTAAAGTGATCCAAAATCGGCGAGACCGACGAATTAGCGGCTTCTTAGAGAGAAAAGGAAAAACAAGTGTGCAAAATTTCAAAACGATAAATCGGAGGTGCACAAAATTCATAGTGGCACTCGATAGAAGAAAAAATAATTAGTCATTGACTGGTGGTATCACATGCCCGCACAATAAGACTGCAGATCCACATTTCTTGCTCTCTTATGCCTAGGACAAGGCGCCAGGGAAATAATTATCTCTTGTGCACTTTGGCAAGACTACGCTGTCAGCAGCTGGAGTTCCCACGACATGATACACTAGAGGAGGTATCGATAGCGGGTCCCCATGTACTATTAAATTTCGCGTCCTATAAGGCTACTGCTCCTCAAGGATCTACTAAATGAACTCCATCTGGTATCGCAATGGACCAAACATGATTTAGGTGTGACTCACTGACGTACCAGATTAACTTAAGCTAACCTTATAATGTGTTCGACGTTTCCTTCTGCCTCTTACCAACTTTGTGGTAGAGATCACTTTAATCAATAATTTTGTTATTCAGTTTCTAGGCTCACCCGAATACACATATAATATGAGATGATGGGAGATATCCGCTGACAAATGGACTTCATGGTTAGACAATTTGTCAAAGAAAGCTGTAAGCCCACAGCTAACCTAAATGCGATTAATAATAATGAACTAAATTCTTATTTTAAATTTTATTTTTAGTATGAGGCATATTTATTTCAAATTTTAGAAGATGGCACTCTATCACTTTTAATTAAATATAACGATTTTCTGCATTTATTTCAAAATTATGAATGTATTATTTAAGAGTTCTTATAGGGTGGAACAAAAGCATCACATTCAATGCTTGCCCAGAACAAGCAAATAGTGTTGTTTTCCCAAAACAAAAAATATTTTATTGAATATAAAACCCCGAATTCACATATTTTACATCAATATATATGTACTTTGTCTGTATGTATGTGCCCGAACTAGTCGCTCAGTCGGTATGAAATTTTGTCCAAGTTCTCTCTCCGTAAGCTGCTGACTTGAAGAACCACTGATATCAGACAAACTGATCCAAATCAGATCTTTTATAGAAAACCTTCTTCTTTGACAAGATATAATCACGAAATTTTGCATGGACTACTGCCGAAAGTCTGGTCGTTAACGACCTGCCTTAAAAACTATATCCTGACTGCCAGGTTTGCCTGGTGATTGCCTATGTAAACATCGTTACTTATGATCAAAGGAAACTACTTGAGTACCGTGTACGAGATGAGATTAATTACTAGAATATACAAGATCACGGTGACACCTCTGCCGCAAATGATCGGCATTAATCAGCAGATATAGTGAAATATCTAGATACCATCTTGGATAGGAAGCTTTGATGGAAGCCGAATACCGAAGGGAGAACAAAAAAGTCATCGATTGTCTTGTAATGCTGTAGAAGAGCCATTGGCCAATGGTGGGGTTTCTCACCGAAAATAGTCCTCTGGTCACATACATTATGCTCTATCAAGTCTTTATGTGTTGAAGGGCTCTACAGAAGACCACACTTGCAAAGAAATTCGAAAGTGTTCAACATGTGTAGTGCATAAAGGTCCACTCCAAACATGGCACTAAACGCCATTTTGCAAATGGTGCCCATAGACATCATTGGAAGGTGTATAGCTGTGAAAGTTGCTATCAGATTCAGAGAATCTGCGTTCCTAAATGAATACATGTCTGAACACTTCTCACCACCTTCAACCGAACTCTGCCGGGTGCTTCTCTGCCCATATACCAACGAACTAGCTGAGGGTGGTAAGAAATTGTTGTAGGAGCAGGGCAGTGAGCTCCATTATGGATAGGTCAAGGCTTGGAGGAACAGTTGGTGCAAGTGTTTGCTGTCAGGAGCTCTCTATCAACTTCAGCTTCTGACTTCCTGTCAATTGCAGTGTTTTTGTACCCGATGATGCAGCTTTTAAGGTAGCAACAAATTTACTGCTCCGGAGTGCAGCCTTCTACAGAGAAGTGAGCGTCCGCTCAGATAGCACGACAAGGATACTATCCTTGAACTCATTGGTCAAGGAGTACCTAATGTCGTTATCAATAGCATCGAGTCTCTTTTTTGATCAGACTAGTATGGGTGGTAGGCCGCAGCGGAATCGCAGGCAATTGTAAAGCTGATGAGCTAACAAGAAAAGATACTTTAGAGGGGCTATCTGTAGAATAAGAATGAGTCGATGTTCCCGTCCTATCTTGTCTACTACTAGATAGCTGGACTTTGCGGGAGCCTGTCTAGTACTGGGCCACTATCGGTCTATGCACTGTCGCCAAATCTTTTTGGCCCAAAATCGATCGCAACAGACCTAGTGATCTCTTTGGCTTCAGTAAGGCTAGCCGCTCTCTAGTTGTGGAAATGTAATGCCATAAGGCTGGGAATCTGCCATCTGCCATCTTCAGAAGCTGAGTGGAAAAAGAAGAGGTGGAAGATGCGCAACCCTTCCTTAATGACAATCTCTTGTTTGAGAAATCAAAACTAAATTATTATTATTTTTTTTCTCGAAGGCAGAGCTCGACGACTTCGAAGATACTTCAAATTAATCATAAAATTCATAGAAGAGACTTAGATGACGATATTATTTAGGTTTGTTGGTGGTTTAGTACGAAAAATGGAAATTGCAAGTTCATTCCACACATCAAGTTATTATAGAAGAATTTGCTAGACATCGACTTTCACTTCAAACTATCTACATTAATTTGCAACACCTGCTGTTCATATTTAAATCACGCTATGCTTTAAGTCAATTAGAAATCTTAAAATACTATATACTATATAAACTACAAACTTAACGAACAAAGAGAAAAACAAAAACAAAAACTTACGTCACTAAAAGCCTTATAAATTTGCGCTTAATGGCTGCTCGTTGAAACTCATTAACTGTCTATCTTACATCCGCTTCCAAGCGTTGACCGCACCATACACAATTAACACGAAATATACAGTTATACTGGCTATCCACTACATACATACACACATACAGACATTTAGCTGCATCCATTTAAAATGGAAATTTCCAACCGATATCCCGCAATCAGCGCAAATCGGTGCCGTATAAGCGGCCACCGCTGCCACCTCTACTACCACCACCACCAGCACCAACACCATCGCCATCATCACCATTTGTATACTCATTAACACTGCCATTACGGCTCTCATAGTCGTCCTCGCCCTCATCCGTCGCATTGGCGTAATCGCTGCTGCAACCATCGTCCAGCAGCGTCACCTTCGGCGGTGGGTGATGATGTTGCGTATGCTGCTGTTGCTGTTGTTGTTGGTAGTGATGTTGCTGTTGCTGTTGCTGTTGCTTTTGTGGACTTTGTGTGCACTGCGGCGAGCATTGTGTTTGCTGATGATGTTGTTGTTGATGTTGCTGTTGTTGTTGATGATGTTGGTGTTGATGTTGTTGCTGCTGTTCCATATACGCATTGGAGTTCTCCATCTCCAGCAACGCACCACCGCCGCCATCATTGACCGCAATCGTTATATTACAACCACTCGAATGATGCACATTGCCGTGACCAGCGCTGGCGGCAGACTCACGCATTTGCTGCGCGGCCAATATTTGTGCAGCGCGCGCGCTCAGGTTGGGTGTGCGTACGCCGGGCGGCATTTGTGCGGAGGCCACACTAATAGTGGGCGGCACATTTAACGCAGCGCGACTGCCCGTGTGACTGCCGCTGATGTTGTCCGTGCTGCCAACGCCACCACCACTAACGCCGCCGCCGCTGTTGAGGCAGTGATGCGCGCCGGTGATATGGTAGGGCGCCTGCGTGTGATGTAATTGGACACCGTTGTGCATGCCATCGGCGCCAGGCAGATGTTGCGGCGCCAACTGCAGCGCGTGATGATCTTTGCATTCTAAACAGAAGGGCAAAGAGAAAGAAGAAAGAGAGAGATTAAAGGCGTAAAGTAAGGCAGCGTGGCCATAAAAGAAAGAAGAAATGCAAAAGCATGGTATGTGGCATATTAATTGCAAGTCGTTGCAAGTCGGTGACCTTACCTAATGGCGCTAGCAGCTTAGGTTGCAGTGGCAGCATAAAGTCATGTCCCGTTGTGGCGGCGCGCGGCTGCAAACTCTGTACCTGCGGCACGCTCAAGTAATCCGCTAATGATTTGAGAAAAGAGAAGACGTATGCAGCGAAAATTAGAAGGCGAGACTATAGACTGTTCTACATATGTAAGTATATAGCTTATTGGTGAGTAATAATAATTTAGTAAAATATTTGAAAATTTATAGAAAAGATGTTCTAACCTCAAATATTATAACATGAAGGGAGTAGTCGAAAGATTTCAATGCAAAAATTACTGCACACACTTTTTATTTATTTTTTATTTTTTTTCAAGCAACTACTTAAATATATATGGCTATTAAATATGCTTAAAAATATATCATGATACAAAAAATATTCGGAAATTGATTAAATATGTGATATATATGATTTCAAGCAACTTAAGATCAATAGCTAAATGTGTATATACAAGAAAATCGACTTTATACGTAAATATAAGTTTAATATAAGATTTATATAAAGTATATAGCATAAGCAAACAACTGGCGTGCCATTCCATATGTTAGTATGCATAACTAGTTGCAATTGTAACTACTTACCTATTCTGAAATTATATATAAGTTACCACTTAATCACATCGTCAAATAAAAATTACAGCTTACACAAAGAAAATAATATTAATATTAAGAAAATGTTTTAAAAATTTTTCCATGAAAAATAATCCTCATTAATGACACAAATTTTGGCGAATATATACTGTGCCTAAAAAATAAGGTGACATTGTATTTATTTTGAAAATTCTTTATTTATTCTTCCAAATCAATTTCATCCCCTTCAAAGTAATCCCCACTAGTACATTATGCCAACGGATTATCCAATCTTCGAAACACTGTTTGTAATGTCACTTTCCGGGATGGCCTTCAGTGCCGGCATCGCTGCGGCTTGAATATCGTATAAAAACGGTGTCCCCGGAGCGGTCTTTTGAGCTTGGTGAATACGGTGATTGCGGTACGATATGGGTTGAGTTTTTGGCGAATTGATAATTTAATGCAAATGCTTTGCTCAACAAATTTCGACATCGCAAAAAATGAAAAACTCACTTTTAGCAGCTCACAAAAAGACACGTATCTCAAACACTAATGAATATTTGGACATGAAATTTGACAAAAATGTGAGTGACAGTACTACCAACCTAAAAAGAAATAATAATTCTCCAAATCCTTCGACGCGCAGTCTAAATTCAAATGTCACCTAATGGCACACGTGACTGTTATTGGAAAATTGGATCTCTCGAAAAGTAAGTTACTTTAGGAGTGTACATAAGAGTTAATTTGAAAACATTACCACATTCCCACGTTTTATGAATGCAATCAGCTAATGTTATACATTGTGACAAAAAAGCTCTCCGGGTAAAAAAAATTTCAAACAAATGTATTCTGCTAGATTGATAGTACTGTCTTTAACTTACTGTCTATGCCAAACATGAGCGCGATCTGTCAACCAGTTTGTTTACAGCAGCTGCTTAATTCAGTATACCTCAGTAGTTATCTCAGCTTACAATGGATAAAAATTTCGAAAAAAGAATTTGTCTCAAATTTTGTATTTATAACCAAATTTCGTGTCCGAAATTGTTGCAAATGCTGGAAAATCAAAAACTCAAACCAAGGTGTGGTACAACGATGGTAGAGACATCGCTGAAGGCATGTTTCATTGTGGACGACCTTCGATCTCTTCATGAAAATATGAAACAAGTTAAAGCTATGCTGCTTGAAAATCATTTAGCAAGTGTTAAAAAGAAGGCAAGTTAACTCGACATCTCTCGCAAGTCTGTTCGCATGATATTTTGGGTATGAAACGTGTTCTTGGTCGACACGTACAGATAAAGCTGAATTTTTTTCAAAGAGAATATCGTAACCAGGACATGATTGATCCCGCTAATTTGATACACGCGCTTATAAGGTTGCCATGCAAACAAGTCAATAATCATCAGAACGGAGGGCAAAAAAAAAAAAAAAAAAAAAAAAAAAAAAAAAAAAAAAAAAAAAAAAAAAAAAAAAAAAAAAAAAAAAAAAAAAAAAAAAAAAAAACACCACAAAACAAACGGTCAATAAAGAGTTCTATTTGCCCACATTAAGGCATTTGTGTGAGTACATTCGTCGAAAACGGCCGGGATGAATACCATCGATCAACCACCTTATTCATCACATTTAGTTTTTTTCGTGTTCACCAAACTAAAATTGCCGCTCCGATGAACGCGTTTCAGCCATCCTAAAAAGAGCTTGTATGAAAAGTGTTTCGGTGACTGGTAACATTGTCAGCATAAATGTATTACATCTAGTGGGGATTACTTTGAAGGCGAGAAAATAAATATTGATCAATAATTAATAATTTTATGTTTTATTTATAATTTTTGGGTGCTTTTTGGGCACAATGTATAATATTTGAAAGATAAAATTGCATATTACAAAAACTTCTCAGACAGTTTGGTGATTGCTTGACTCAGCATTGTTTAAGCACATGTCAAAGATGGTCACGAGGAAAGAAAAGATACACAAATTTTTACAGAATTTATTTTATAAAGACAAAATAAAGCTAGTCGGCTGAAACATATATTCTGTTTATTCAGTTAACCCAAAATTTACACATGAATCAAATTCCAATATGTGATTCACTGCTGATTTGAAAGAAGTCAAATCATTTTCATAGCAGATGGTTTCTGGCGACGTAAGTGGGCCAGTTCTGACAAGGTCAAATGAAAAGGGTTCTGGTAAGGTCACGGTAAGCCACGGCAATCTATGTCAAAGCCAAGGTCCGCGGTTTGTTTGATTATGTATTTAGTGCATATAATCACCAGGGCATAGATCCATCTACTATAAGTAAGTTGCTTCCTACGACAAAACTTGTAATTCGGAGATTTGCTATTGATAATTGAACCAATTGAATTGAAGGAAGGAATCGTCCAGAAGCAGTCTGATAATTTGAATGTCGCTAAGGCTATGCACATTTTCAGAAGGAATTATAGTGAATTTCTGAGGGGAATAAGCTCCTCAGTGATCTTCTAAACATATATCAAAGGTTTTCAGTCAATTTTAAAAAAGGATAGAGAGATAATTTGTGGTAAGAAGTTAGCTATTTGCCCCAGTAAGAAAAGTGAATGGTTTTATCTGCTCAGATAAGTCTGGCAATGATATTGATAAAGGTTCAGATTTCATAAAGAAGGATTTGTTATGTCTCTCCAAAGGTTATATAGTATTTCCTTTTTTTTTAATTTCAAATATTTGAAATTGTAGGAAGTATAGCTTTTGTGTAGTTAAATTAAGATTATTATTCGTTGCATAAAGCTCTAAATCTGCTACACGGGCTGAATAACGACAATTGAGGTTGCTTTATCTTCCCTTTCTTTGAGCATTTTGAACATAATAATATCGAAACTCTTGTTAGCAGATACCTCTTTTTGATCGACAAGGGATTGAGAAGCAGACCCATCTTTCGCTGGAAAATGGAAATGGAAACCTAGATGAGGACAAACCGGGATAAGAAAGCTCTTGGAGGCATCCATGAGAATTGTTCTTCGCATGGCCTATGCAGTCTATTTGAATGCGGTCAGCGATGGGTACAGAAAAATACGGAACTATGAACTGTTTGATGTAGAGAAGGCAGTGTATATTTACAGAAGATGTTACAGGGTGCCAAGTCTGGCAAATATGCTAGCTGTGTCTTGGCTCTCGTTTCACGACAGTCACATTAATGCTAGAATGCGGCGTCGCATTCAGGTCAGATCAGGAACGAGTCTAACATAGACAAGTTTTGACACACTACATACCTAAATGGTTGAGACGATTTTATATTCAGGTCTTTTATTACTAGTACAGCATTGTTCGACTTTGATACGCTTTACTTATGACTAAATGGTTGAAACCATTCGTAAGAGATGTTGAGATCCTCTGGAAGACGATCATTTTCAAGCTTTAACTCTTTCGATGTTATCGTCGTTAACAGAGCTGGATGGACGATTCGCATAAGACTAGTTTTCGCTGATTTCACGACCTTCACTAAAAGCTTTGTGCTACTCAAATACTTAAGTTCGTAATAAAGTAGCTGACCTGAAATACTTTTAACGTTACCACGGTAAAAACCGATAGACAAACGTCGAAAACATACAGCTGACAAGCGCAGATCAACTAACCGAAATATGAGGATCAAACTTCTCAAGATCATAGATAATAATTGTACCAATCTAGGAAAATAAGTTATCGAATAGGTCTATGCGTGAAGTTTATATGAACCAGCTCGGGCCCAGTAGACGAGTCGTGTTTAACAAATAGTTGCATAAGTCGTCCCAGCTAAAGTCAGCTGAAGTCCTATTCGGATAAACAAAGTCAAAAAAGTCCATCAAAGTGCTTTTAAACTAGTTTCTCGAGTTACTTCGTTTAGAACCATCAGCATAAGTCAAGCAAGGTCCACACGTACCAAGTTAAGTCAAATCAAGTTGACTGGAATTACCTCAAATTAACTAATTGCTTTTTTCTGCAATTTTCAACTGCGCTCCCGAAGTTTTCAAGATTGCTTTCGGTAAAAAATAAATTAACACCGCTTACCAACAAAAAGACGGCTGTAATTGCATTTCTTGTACAGTCATTTCGTCCAGAGTTGTAAATCATTTGCACATGCATACTTAATTTGTTGGAAAAATAAAGAAAAACATGAACAAAAAATAAAGTAAAAAGCAAAAATAAAAGCAAACAACTAAAATAAACAGTGTTAATGAGGCAAACCATGTCGACAGCAGCTGAGAATTCTCCGAAAAAATCACGATTCAGCGGCGGTTCGACAAAGAAAAACAAAGAAGAATGCGAATAAAAAGAAAGCGTGAATAAATACAAGTGCAATAAGCAAGCAAACATTGCGGAAATTAGTAAAACTGAGCAAGAATGCAAATAAGCCGAAGTTGGGCGTCAACAAGTCACGGAGAGGGCAGAAGACCGCGAGACACGGTGAGATTGGTGGCATACAAAGCGAGAAAAACTGTCTGCTGTTGGTGTTTTATTGCGAGCTAAAGAAGCATCAAAGGCCAATTCAAAGCGAATAAAAGAAA